TCCCCGCTTACGCATTAATAGCGCGAAATATATCGCGCGTTAATGGTCCCAAATTTGCCAAAACGGCAATCTTTAAATCCCCATAATTTTCCAAAAAATAATCGCAATTGAAATATCTTTTCAAATTTAAGCTCAAGATAACAATAGCTTTCGAATGATATATAGGAAAAATTTTGTCAAAAATTGCTAGTTAAAAAGTCAAATTTTGTCAGAAGAAAAAAAGCCTACCACGAGCACAAAAATTTCGTTACTTTCGTATCAAAAATCGGAACAACAAGAAGATAGAAGATGGTAGAAGTGTGAAGTACATGGGCCTTAGTATGAGTATTTTATGATGAGCAATTTTTGTCCACTGAAGTGTACTGTTTGCTGCGTTTCCAAAAAATTTGATGTAACACAGAAAACATATAAAGGCGAATTATAACTATACCGGGCTTATTACAATCAAAATAAAATGTGACATGAGCAACAAAAACGATTGCACATGGATTGTTGTTCACGTTTTGCTTCCAATCAACCCTGTGGTGTTTCTTATTATCGTCTTGGGTTGAAAACAAAACAAGACTACACGTATCAGGGCGAAGCCTTGAATATTACGACTGCCTTTTAAAATTTATGGAGCAGTAATAACATAAAAAAAAGAAAATATAATAATAAAATAAAATTAAAACCTTTTTTCTGAAAGTTGAATTTTTTAGTGAAAATCATCCCCCCACACGCTATATAAAAGACGAAAGAAAAGATATCGCTCCTTGTAACAAATCAATTATGGTAAATAAGCTTCTTTCAACCAATTTGGAACAATTTCTATCACGGATTAAATCTCCGCTTACGCGTTAATTGCGCGAAATATATCGCGCGTTAATTTTCCCAAATTTGCCAAATTGGCAATCTTTAAATCCCCATAACTTCCCGAAAAATTATCACAGGTGAAATATCTTTTCAAATTTAAGCTCAAGATAACAATAGCTTTCGAATGACATTTAGGAAAAATTTCGTCAAAAATTTCTAGTTAAAAAGTCAAATTTTGTCTGAAGAAAAAAAGCCCAACCCGAGCACAAATATTTTGTTACTTTCGTATCCAAAATCGGAACAACAATAAGATAGAAGATGGTAGAAGTTTCAAGTTCATGGGCCTTAGTATGAGTATTGTATGATGAGCAATTTTTGTCCACCGAAGTGTACTGTTTGCTGCGTTTCAAAAAAAGTAACACAGAAACCATATAGAGGCGAATTATAACTATACCGGGCTTATTACAATCAAAATAAAATGTGACATGAGCAATAAAAATGATCGCACATTGATTGTTGTCCACGTTTTGCTTCAAATCAACACTGTGGTGTTTCTTAACATCGTCTTGGGTCGAAAACATAACAAGACTACACGTATCAGGGCGAAGCCCTGAATATTACGACTGCCTTTTAAGGTTTATGGAGCAGTAATAAGATAAAAAAAACTAAATATAATAATAAAATCACATGAAATCTTTTTTTTTCTGAAACCTGAATTTTTTAGTGAAAATCATCCCCCCACACGCTATATAAAAGACGAAAGAAAAGATATCGCTCCTTGTAACAAATCAATTATGGCAATTAAGCTTCTTTCAACCAATTTGGAACGATTTCTATTACGGATTAAATCCCCGCTTACGCATTAATAGCGCAAAATATATCGCGCGTTAATTGTCCCAAATTTGCCAAAACTGCAATCTTTAAATCCCCATAACTTTCCGAAAAATTATCGGAGGTGAAATATCTTTTCAAATTTAACCTCAAGATAACAATAGCTTTCGAATGATGTTTAGGAAAATTTTCGTCAAAAATTGCTAGTTAAAAAGTCAAATTTTGTCAGAAGAAAAAAAGCCTACCACGAGCACAAAAATTTCATTACTTTCGTATCGAAAATCGGAACAACAAGAAGATAGAAGATGGTAGAAGTTTAAAGTACATGGGCCTTAGTATGAGTATTTTATGATGAGCAATTTTTGTCCACCGAAATGTACTGTTTGCTGCGTTTCCAAAAAACGTGATGTAACACAGAAAACATATAAAGGCGAATTATAACTATACCGGGCTTATTACAACCAAAATAAAATGTGACATGAGCAATAAAAAGGATCGCACATTGATTGTTGTCCACGTTTTGCTTCAAATCAACACTGTGGTGTTTCTTAACATCGTCTTGGGTCGAAAACATAACAAGACTACACGTATCAGGGCGAAGCCCTGAATATTACGACTGCCTTTTAAGGTTTATGGAGCAGTAATAATATTAAAAAATTAAATATAATAATAAAATAAAATGAAAACTTTTTTTTCTGAAACTTGAATTTTTTGGTGAAAGTCATCCCCCACACGCTATATAAAAGACGAAAGAAAAGATATCGCTCCTTGTAACAAATCAATTATGGCAAATAAGCTTCTTTCAACCAATTTGGAACGATTTCTATCACGCTTTAAATCTCCTCTTACGCGTTAATAGCGCGAAATATATCGCGCGTTAATTGTCCCAAATTAGCCAAAACGGCAATCTTTAAATCCCCATAACTCTCCGAAAAATTATCACAGGTGAAATATCTTTTCAAATTTAAGCTCAAGATATCAATAGCTTTCGAATGATATACAGGAAAAATTTCGTCAAAATTTTCTAGTTAAAAAGTCAAATTTTGTCTGAAGAAAAAAAGCCCACCCCGAGCACAAATGTTTCGTTACTTTCGTATCAAAAGTCGGAACAACAAGAAGACTCTGGTTATTTTAAAATAGCAATTTATATCCCTTTTCAACCAATCAGGTTCGAAATTTTTCGAACTTGTCTGCTTTTTGATGAGTCTAAAATGAATATTTGCGCTTGCTGACCTAGAACCTTGCCGGATTGTATTCAAAATATGAATTTATTTTCAAACGCTATGATGTTAAGCTATTTTGGGATGGATAAGAGAAAAGAAATGGTGGATTTAGGGGAGGGGCTTTCAACCCTTTAGAGATTCGACCCCCTGACTACCAAAAGGTCCCTCTTTGGTATTGCTTTAAGACCTCCGTTTTTGGCTGGCTGACCCTAAAATTTTTTTCAAAACGACTCCAGCGCCAATACATACTATTTTTGAGTGGGAAACGCACCGAAACAAAACACAATTTTTTGCTCAAAACTGTCCCAAAGGTGCCTAAAATCATTTTTTGGCCTGCTTTTCAAATTTTGCCTGCGTCGCTCTATAAGTTTGCCCATCACCTGCGCCCTCAAAAGTTTATAATTTTGGTAAGTTTATCTTCCCATATTGGATGATGTACTGGCATAAATACATGTTCGATATTGACAACTTATAAATAAAATGATTCAAATTGCTTTATTTTCTGCAGAGTTATTGTTCCGACTTTTGTAACAAAAGTAACGTAATGTTTGTGCTCGGGTGGGTTTTTTCTCTTCAGACAAAAATTTCGACCTTTTAACTGGCCATTTTGACGGAATTGTTGTCTTGATCTTAAATTTGAAAAGATAATTCACCTGTGATAATTTTCGTAACGTTATGTGGCTTTAAAGATTGCCATTTTTGCCAAGGATATATTTCGCGCTATTAACGCGTAAGCGGAGATTTAATCCGTCTTAGAAATCGTTCCAAATTGGTTGAAAGAAGCTTATTTGCCATAATTGATTTGTTACATTGAGCGAAATCTATTCTTTTGTGCTTTATATGGCGTGTGGGGTGATGATTTCATAAAAAATTTCAAATTTTAGAATTTTTTTTTTGATTTTATTTTATTACATTACAATTTTTGATGTTACTACTGCTTCATAAACCTTAAAAGGCAGTCAGAACATTCAGGGCTTCGCCCTGATACGAGCAGTCTTGTTGGGATTTGAAACTTAAATTTGTTCAAAATTCGCGCTTCAGATCAGCAATAAATCTACAATGCTGCTGATATTGCAAATAATTAAATGCAAGCAGTTAATCGACGTTGAAATGTGTCGCTATAAATCCTTAAATACACCATGCTAGAAACAGCAATAATCTTCAGAAATTGATGAATCAAGAAAAGCTCGTTCAAATTAGACCAATATAATTTATAATGTCTTGACTAGCTACAATCAGATATACCTGCGGTCATAAATAACCAGCTGAATTAGGGGAATTTAGTGGGCGGAAACTTTAAGACTTTCGCCCCTTCAAACTTCTCAGTCCCTTCGCCACCCAAATGTTTTGACTTGATGAAATCAGATTACAAAACTGCCGGAAATTGGACAAGCACTCAAGGGTTATAAGGAAGTTGTCCTTACCTTACATAAATGTGGCCCTCGTCGCGTACAATTGGCATTATTTTATGAAATGCCTTTCAAGCCAATAGACCATTAACTGACTTTTAAAGCGGATAATACGGCTTTTGTTGTAAGACTTACAAAATCGTGGATACTGTGGCTTTTTTTAAACGGGATATTGCGACTTTTGTTGTAAGGTTTATAAAATGTTGTGAGCCCGGGAAACATAATGAAGGTTTTTTTTGTGCTTTGTGTAATGCTGTAATTCGAATAAGTTCGGTTTTTCCTATGGTATCTCTTCCCATATTCAAAACTTATTCAACTTTCCTGATTTATCCGCCTTACAAAAAAAACTAAGCACAAAAAAATAAGACAGTAATGAACATAATGACAGTAACTATTAGTGATATATTTTTTCTATGTTGTTGTTCTAAAGCTGCAAACTAGAGCAGTCGTCTAACTCGTTTTATATACTTCCTATTTTGTCTTTTTAAAGATCTCGCCTATTTTGTCTTTTTAAAGAAAAGTCAATACTTTTCTCGTTGTTGTTTGGCGAAAAGGATCCTCAATTTGAAAAAAGCTATTACTTAAAATATTTCCATCTGACATTTTGCATTCAAACCCTTACAACCTGTCTTACAACCTTGAAACTTAGCCTGGGAGATCCTGATCAGACCTTCTGGTCCGTTTACAGACGTCTCTGGTACAGGTAGACAATTCCAAAAACTGACAGCAGGTACCAGTTTCTAACCTCAAAACAGCTAACGTCGAGGCTGGCAAGTATATAGTGAGCAGATAGATGTGGTACTTCCTAGCCATCCTAATTGTGATCACGTGTTCTCTGAAAATATCCCCCATGTAGGGAGCGTCGATCCAGCTGTAGTCTTTGCTCAGGTCGAAGTCATTGAAGATGAAGTTGGCGGTTGATTGGTTCGAGTACATTCCTGACAGCCGAGGAGCGTAGCGCAGACGCAGCTGGTCATCGTAGTACTTGTACGTTCCCATTCGAATCTGAACAAATCAATTTATTCGGTCCTCAAGAAACTTCATCACAAGGGATATCAACCACACAAAAACGTTATCCCACTAAATCTGCGCCAAGGCTCCATCGAGATTAAAATGGTTTCCAAAATTTAGCGCAGATACACAGATTAACCATCATTCATAATATAATTATTTGGTATATTTTCATATTTTTGTAGTCATTTTTTGAAGCCTGAAAAGTTTTACTTTGATTTGGCTCTCATATAAAGCAACATATAGCAAAAGGTGATTTTGTTTCCAAGTTTTAAAAAAGTTGTCAGCGTGATCTGACGAAACGATGAGAAAATATGGGACGTAGGTAAAGTACCAGGATGTTTTTTCTTCAATGAACAACATTTCAAAACGACGATTGATACAAAATGACACTAGTTATCATTTTTTAAACGTTTTCTACTTACACGACAGTTATGTCTGTCTAGTGGGAAATAAGACAACTCCATTGGACAAGAGTTGGTCAGAATGTATCTGCTAGAGTAGAGAATTGACATACTCCTGTTGAATCGCAGACACACGTTGTCGTTCTTGTCATCGGCCGGAACAATCGACACCGCCGTCTAAAGTAGGCGCCATTTGTAAATCTAATAATTCTGCTGTAGTTTATTATGGGATCGGGGTTTGACAACTTTCGTCGACTTTTTTTATCAGACAATTTGAGCCTTCGAGCTCTGCCGAAACTTTTTGTATAAATCTTAGACACCTGTGAACGGACCTGTAGGCCCAATGGTGCTCTTCTAGACAGTAAAATTGTTAGCGTGGTTTGTAAATTTATTAACTACCCACAATGAAATTGCCTGAAAACAATTTATTATGATTATTATTTTAAATTTATTTTTAAGTAGACTTAAAACTGATGCAGTAAACATTTCTATTTTATTATATCCATTTTAAAAACTTGTCATATTACTAGCATTATCAAGTACATATACTGTATATTCAACCCCTTTTCGATACCATTTTTCTGGCTCCCTTTTGGATACAGATTTTTATAGGTCTCACTATCAATCATACGGTATCCATTCTGCCCGAACAACCTATCGCATTTTTTCAGCGCGCTTCCCCTTAAAATTTATTATACATTGGCCTCCGCGAAAAAAAAACGAAAAAATAATTTGCCAGAAGTCACTTTTGACGCCAAAGGGTTAACATAACTTCGTTTTGAGGGGGAAATGAACAAAATAAACGAATGGTTTTCGGTCAAAGTCTTCTCAGAAAAGCCAAAAAACAACTCTGTCACATTATCTAAATTTTCCTGCTGCAAATACCAATTTGACAATCTACGGTCTTTTAATTTTTGCGGAGAGAGCAATATTTGATGTGGATGACCTAAAATTCATAATACTCTCGTCCAAATTTAAACAATTTTCATTCAAAACCTCTTAATAAAATGTAATTAACGACCTGTATCTCATCTAAATTATGCGCGCAAACAAATTTTTCAAACAAAGTTTAAATTTATACCATTAATTTGTTCATACTGATAAATTTAACCTGGAAGTAGAAGTCCGGCTTCCATATGTAATCGGCGAAGTCACTTCCAAGAGTGAATCGTTCCACACAAAGGTTCCGTTCGGAGCATTCGTGGTAGCTGATACCATGTATGTTTTGGTATAGATTGTACCATGTTTGATTCAGTCTGACATCTGTCCAAGTTGCCTGAAAAAAAGCTATCGAAAAATCGAAAAAATAAAAGCAATCAGTTCTCCGAGACAGACTACCGCATTGGTCTCTGCAACAAAAAAATCATAAAACACGCTGTAAAAAGTTAGTAGCTGGGAAAAAAATTTCGTTGAAATAGTTAGTGACAAGTAAAGAGCAGTGCTGTTTTTTTGAGATGTATGGAATTGTGGAATTTTAACATTTTATGAATAGAATAGCCGGAGTTTAAAGCGGAACTTACATCCCGCACTATCTCTTTCATTACAAAACAAAACTTAAAAGGATGCTGGTATCAGCCCAAAACTCCGAATTTTCCAAATGTATTTCCAATTCTATCGAGGAGTGTTCACTTACAAATATAATGGAGAAATTTCCAAAAAAAAATAAAATTCAAGGTTTTTTCTGAGATTTTTTTGAAAATGATCTCCGCGCACAATATGTAAAGTAAAAAATGCAATATTTTGCATATAGCAAGTATTAAATAGACCAAATAGCATGTCTCAATTCAATTTACAAACGATTGCTAAACGTTAAACCGGATTTGATAGCACAAAATACTTTGCTTGTTAATGCTCCCAAATTCACAGGTCACAGGTAAAATATCACAAGTAAAATATCTTTTGAGTTTAGATTGATATTGGAAAATCCGGTCACAAATTGCTTGTTAAAATTTTGTTTATCTGGAGAAAAAAAGCACCCCGAGTACAAATGCTTGGTCAATTTCTTCGAAAGTTGGAATAATGATTTGGAGTAGCACAACCACTGATTCACGCGCATGCAACTATTCGAGCCTCTGATTCACGCGCATGAAACCATTCGAGCGAATGCTGCCTTCTATTTTTGCAGTGTATTCTGGCGAAGTGTTATTTGAAGACATTTTTCACTTCTGTTTTTTTTTCATTATCATTTTTTGTCGAGCAGTTTCATAGTATCAATTTTTCCATCAAAGTTGTTTTCCAGATATTGCAAAACCTGGAGGCCTAACCCGGAGGTTAATTATTTAGGTTGACATGAGCACATATATTCAGCACCATTTAAGCTATGACTTACTTGCAAGAGCTCGCTTTACAAATTTCAGCGTACGTGCGATTTGAACCACCAATCATATGATTGCTGGGCACCATCACTACCGGAGAACCACAATGCCAAAGTTGTTTAACAAAGACACTTTTCATTATATCAATGTATCGTTTTAGATCCGAGTGAAAAAAAGTATAGAATAGAGTCCACTGGATATTTTTCCGGCCAGTTGTAACTTCCTCTGAGAAAATTTGTAGGAGTCAAAGTTGGAATCAGACTTAAAATATATTGGTCGTGATTCGGAATCTAGAAAGTTAAAATTAAAAAAATCTTCCCAGTCTCAAGAAAAACTGGTCTGAATAATTTGGGCTCTTGAATTTAAGTTTTACAGAAAATTTGATGCAATATTTCAACAACTTCTACGCGATAGATCTTTTTTTTTGATTATATTGGTTTTTCAGTGGGTCTTACTTCACCCACATCGCTCTTTTCTTTGAAATTTTTTGGCAATTTGTTAGTATTTATGCTATTGAAAAATATACGGCACCAACAGTGTAGCTTAATGCAACGCGAAGAAAATTTAAATGTTCTGACTGCCCCCTAAAGATCTATGAAACAACTTGATGATATTTTTTAAGATGAAACCTGATAAAAAAAACAAAAAAAGGAAAAGTTGAATTTCTTTTTGTAGCTCTTTTAAAAACTCTTTTTCCCATCCTTTATGCATCTTCTATGAGAAAAACACTGCAACATAATAGAAGTCCCATTAGGACCCAAATTAAGCAGCATGTTACTTTTCGTAAAAACGTCAAATTGCCAGAAGTTTTTCATTTGAACTTGGACGTTAACTCTTTTCAGATAGGATGACAAGTTCCGTTCAGTAGTGGCTAGTAACAAAATCAATAACTGTTTAAAGAAATGACAAACCGCTCCAAGCACTTGTAATCCATGTTTTCATTGAAAGTCGGTAAAAATCACATGGTACACGCAATTCTGCCATTTCATTGATTCTTTTAAAAAGCAGTTTGAAACATTCACACTTTTCTAATATATGAGAATAAATACAGAGCAATCAAAAATTTTGCAGGTTGATGAGATTTTTCTCAAAAAACTCTATAATTACAAAATCATATGCTGTGAATGCGTTGATCGTTAAGCGATTGTCTATCAGCTTAATCTTTATGATTGGTGAAAATAGTTGAATGAGCGAAACAAAACGTGAATATGGATACTTTAACCATTCGGTGGTTATTTTGAGCTGATTGCAAGGACAAAATGAGTGTATTTTTATCTGAATTTCAGAATGGACGCTTCTGCTTCTGTTTTCGAGACAACGTTGTTAAGGTGGATTGCCAAAATTATATAACAAACTGAAAAAAATCGTAGTTTGGATTCTCGTCACTTGCTAAATTTAATTGCATCGATTTGTCGGTTTTCTTGTTTTTGAGTTATTGCAATTGTTTGTGTTTAATGAAAAATCGGCGCTATTAGTTCGATCATTCACAAAATTTATGTCAGTGGCGGATTTAGAATTTTTGGTTGTGGAGAGAGATTTTTTGAAGTTTGTCAAAAAAATTTTTGTCCATGACTTTTTCAGCCGTTTCAAGTTTTATTTTGAAAAATTTCGACGAGCTGGGCCATATAGCCCTTGACTAAAAGGGTTAAATTAAGTAGCCCCTTAACTAAAAGAGATTTTAGTGATCCAGCTGTATGATTAAAGCTGAGTGCAATTTCTGAATGCTGGATTAAATTGAATAAACCTGAATAAACGAAAATTCGAATCACGGTTTTGACAAAAACTTAGATTATTTTGAATGCTGTTTACTTGAATCGCAGGATACAGAGTTTAAAATAAATTGATTTCTTTTTTTAATTCAGTCAATGTGACTTCGGCGTCCCACAAAAAAATGTTTTCGGGCCTTTATTTTTCATTTTTTTAAATAAAATATTTTCCGGATTATGTTTATAACAGCAATGGTTTTCTCTAATGCGATGATGTGAAATTTACCCCGATTCTTAGTCCGAACCAATTCAAATCGATATAAATAGCTGATCAGAGTGTGCGACTGCAATCGAACCGATGTTTCACCCATTAAAAACCAAAGAGTTAAGTTTAGTGTACAGTCCCCAAGACTTTACCTTTGATAACTCGTCAATTAAATTACGCAATTTTTCAAAAGATCTAGGTGTTATTGTTGCAATGAATTTGAACTAGACTCGACAAACAAAAACAAATTATCAAAATTGCTCAAAATTGCCAGAAGGAGTCACGAAGTGCATGAAAAAGTTTTTGTATCAATCGTAAATTTTATCAATCAAAAAATTCTGTTCTGCGACTTGATGTCAGTCAATTCGCTGGTCGGAAAAATTAGAGAGCTTTCAGCGAGGAGTTACGAATTGGGTTGACAGTAAAAATAAGTGTTAGCCTAATTCCTCGTTACAAATGAGCTCCATTCTACTTGTATTTTGTTGCAGCGAATGGATGTTTTGTTATTCGGAAAAAAAGTTATCAAAAATAAGACATCTCACAAAATCTAAGCAAACCAAATAGAAATTGCGCTCATAATAATCAGAAACGGACGAGTTGAGTTTGGGCATTATAAAAAAAATCAGATTTGACCTGAATATTTTACGCACCCAGAGCCACAAGCGAAGTGCTTCGTGGGACACGTTAAACCTGAACTGACTCTGAAAACACTGAAGATTGCTGTTGGCGATATTTTAAAAAAACAGGCCAAAAATAAGTTTGTTTGGCTGTTTTTTGGTTTTTTGATTTTAAAGTTGCCATTTTTTATTGCGCGCTTTCGCATCAAAATTTCGGTGAAAGGAAATCGCACCTGAAAAAGTTTCGGGATCGGTCAGCTAAAAAAATATGTCAAAAACAGAACCAAAGAAGGGGGACCTTTTGAGTGTTTGGAAGGTCGAGCCACCCGAATGGTCCCTTCTTTGGTGCTATGTAAGACTGGTCTGGTTTCCCAAAAAACTTTTCTAAACGAAGCACTTTTCGAGCCAATTTATACTAATTTTGAGAGGAACGCGCACCAAAAATTTTGCAATTTTTGTTTAAATTTTTTACAAATGCTGAATTTTCCCTCTAAGCCAAGTATATCAGCAAATAAAGCTCTTTGGGAGAAACCGAAAAAGAAATCAGTCGACATTTAAAAAAATCAGCAAGTTTTTTGATTTTCTTCTGAGAAACCTTTTGAGAAAATCTTAACTATAAGAAACGGTTTTTATGATTATCAGTTAGATGTTTGCAGCTTCTCCCCTGCAAGTTCTCTCAAATTTTTTAAATGTTTTTCATGGAGGGCTAGAAAAAACTTTATACCTTTTGTTTTTTATTTGGGTTTTTAAGGCAAAAACTATATAATAATTCTTCAAATCAACCTATGCGTTCTCTTTAGGTGAACTAGAAGTGGATATACAAAAGCTATAAGTAATGTGCGTCATAAAAAAGACGTGGCTGTATACTTTATGCTATCTAATGCTGTATACGAACCTGTACAAATACATCCAGCACTACAGTCATGTCAACTTCAGACACAGTTCTGATGGAGTTAATGAACAGTCCAATCTCCGCTTTATCGACGTCCACGCCCTCATTTGGCCTCACATTCTTATCGTTGGCAAGTTTGATAGTTGGGTCACAGAAAGAAAAAAAAACTTAATTGATAACTCCAAGTGTACAGGCAAAACTCAAATAAAAACAACAGAGTTTTTCAGTTAATAGCTGCAATTAACTGATATTAATTTTTTCAGTTCAATTGAAGCTCGTTTTTGTACACCATCAAAATGGCGGCGGTCAGTTTTGTGATGGAAACAACAACCTCAATTAAGAAGCCAATAACAAAACTCACATCTTTCATAGGGACCCAACTATCACTCTTGTACTTTATTATAATCAGGGTCAAAAAATGTAGAGCTGCTGGTGATAATTCTGGCATAAAGAAGTGACAAAAAAGCTAACAAAAGATAATAATTGTAGGGTTTAGCCATCTGGTAAATGGTATAAAAAGTTTACAAAGAGGGAAGACCAAATTTGTTTAGAAGAGTTAAATGTCGTAAAACACTTATCAAAGGGGTTTAAATTGAGTTAGTGAAATCTATTTACTTAAGGCCGAGAAATTTCGACTTTTTATGCAAAGTTCTCAAGTCAAATTTGGTTTGAAGTCTGGCGAACAAATTCTAGTCAGATGCTTATTAGACCATGGAGTAATTTTCTTGCCTTCTTGGCCTTAAATAACAGTTTTAAGACACCAAAAAGAAAACGTTTGTTTTCATAAAGACAAATTGAAAAGAAGATTAAGTTGTCAATATGGTTTTCATGGAACCAGTTCGGTAAATCTGGTTCAAATTAAAACACCAGATAATTCTAAGCCACCAAATTTGTTTGAAGAGGCAATTTTCATTCTTGTTGTTGAAAGATCATTATTATCAATTTTGATTTTGAAGATTTATTTTGTATCAACCACACGTGTGTCAAGATTGGCTTTAAGACTCAGGAAGGGCTCTCAATATTTGATCAAGATTTCTGTGTCGGACGTATATTGATTAACATCCTTGCACAGTGTAGTCATTTCTTGCACACATGGTACTGTTCTTCTTGGGAAGGTCGGTTGTCAGAGTTTAAATCAGAACACTAATTGGTCCTTTGACAGTTGTTCAGAGTCAAAAATTTCAATCAAATCAACGGGTTGTCTTGTTCTGTTCAATTTTAAAAACAAAACATAGTTTCAGATAAGCAAACGAAACTTTTCGAAACATAAATTGAGATGTTAAAATGTGTTTTGATAAAGTATATTTATTCTATTTTGAACACTTTTAAACATTGTTGCGATAAAATTATTTAAGTTTCCGATGAAATTAATGAAAATAACATTCTTTGTGAAATAATATGCAAAACCGTGCAAAAAAATCAAGGAATCGTACACTATTTGGAAATAGTTTGGCAATCTCGATAACTTCTGATCCCATATTTGAATTTTTACCAATTAAATACTTTGATCTGAGCGTGCTCGTAATTGGCTCATATTCGGAGTCTCATGTTGATGAATGGGCCCATTGAAAACTGGCTTCAAAACGCCTTGTGAGTAATCTACTGCCAGATTAAGCCCTGAAAGACCCAAGGATTTAATTGCTGAAGGACTGAACCTGATCTTCTCACATTAAATGCTCCCCCTGACTGTGCTTTCAAGAGCGGTTACTTCAATTTATCAGATTAAAAACAGATTTATTCGACAGACTGATGATAAAATTGCAAGATATCAAATCATTGTTCCACCGTTAGCTGTGGTTCGCGAGGTAAAAAAACCCAAAAGTCTACTAGATATAGATAACCGTTTTTTTCCATTTTTTTCATCACTACCCGGTCCCGAGCTCCCAGACTTATATTCGGACTTTGAAAGTCGCGCCGCGTCCGGATCAAGATCTAAATTGTTTAGTCGCCCCGAGCGTTTGAGTCTGGACAGTCTGAACATAAAACTGCGAAAGTCGCGTTGCGGGTCGCGCCTATAGGTCAATCTAGAATAACGAAAATAGCAACTTACTAGGAGGCATCTGGCTCAAAGATTCTATTTCAAAAAGTAGGATTTGTTTCTATAGTACGCTGTGTGCCAGTTATGTTTTCATCTGCCTGATATACGTCTATACTGATCCTGACATAAAAACTTAGCCTCTTTTTTCTATTTTTACACTCAGCAAACTAAAAATGTATATAAGTGGAATAAAAGTTGATTTATTAGCTTGAACAGTTCTAAAGCATTATAAAAAGAAATGAGACTGCTGGTACTTGGCTTCAAACCTTAAAATTATACTGCCATCTCGGCATAAATTAGAAATTGTCCCAAAATAGAAAAAAAATGAATAAATTTTCAAATATGCCATCAAAAGTTTCAGCTTTGCCTCTTTTTAGTTAGAAAAGTTTCAGAGTTTTCTAAGTTTGGAATGTTTTTGAGGCGCCAATTCTTTGTGCCGCTGTCGCGTTTAGCATAGAGAATTGAGAAGAAGTTTGTCTGACAGAAAACCGCAGCTTGTATAAAAATAATGGTCTCTATTATGCTAGTTTTCAACGGCAAAATATTTTTCTTTTTCTTGTTGTCAAGGTCTTTTTTATCGGGACAATTTTCCAAGGTTTCTTCAAGAGTCAATGTTTGGCGTTTTCTAATTCAAAAATAATTGCCGAGCCGGACAGTTGACTCATTTTTAGGTGTAAAATAATGGGCATTCATTGACATTCCCTGAAATTTTTATGCTTTTCAAAATCAGTCGAAAGAAAAAAGATTAAAATGAAAAGGCGGAGCAAAGTGTTTTCGTTGAAATTTGAGTTTGTAACAAAAACCAGGTGACTGTTAGATCTCAGAATTGGCAGAAATTATTTGCTTCTTGTTTAAGCATCATTGCATAGCAGTGGGGCGTGTTGGCGTGACTGGCTATCGATCTTGTTCTGATTTCTATCACTTTTTCTTTTTGTTCCGACTTTCGAAGAAAACGGAACATTTATGCTCGGTGTGTTTTTTTTTTCAATCAATTTTCACCGATCGAAATAATAATTTTCATCAAAATTTTTTTATACCATATCAACTTCCTGAGTTCAAATGTAAAAACATATTTCACCTCCGATTATTTTTTGTTAAGTTCACGGGGTTTGAAAATTGTCATGTTTTGACTAAATTATGCTCGCTTTTAAGAGTTATTCACAATGCTGAGAGCGTAACGCTAAGTGGTCCCATTGATTTGAATGACTCAAAACTTTACACTTTGATATCGTCCAAATTGTATAAATTTTCAATCTTTTCTTTTCCCAAAAAATATTTGATATGAATTAAGGGACATTCGGAAGATTCAGGGTTTTGCTCTGACATACGAGCAGTCTTGTTTGAAATTACAATAGCTTTTCTATTATCACAGTCACTGGTTTGGTTCTGTTTTTTTTTTAAATAGGTACGCATCTACATTTAATCAATGCAGTTATTAGTAAAAAGCAGATTATCTAAATTAAACAAGCATTTAGATGGCAAACAGCGCATTTTGTGAATTGTAATGATTTCCGCAACAAAGCGAGATCAACTTTTGTACTAGAATCAGAAACAAATCTGTTTTTTTTTTTGGGCAGTTAAAGAATCAGTGACAACTGAATTAAATGTTGTAGAGCTCCAAATGCTGTAGAGCTCCGCAATTTTTTTCAACTTGAATCCGCATTTTGTTAACAGAAACCTCATTTCGTTAGCTGAATTCAGTCACATATATAGTTATTTGCGGCATAATTGGAACCTGATCTAAACTATATTTTATGATTAGATAAATTAGATATTTTACCACTGTAAAGTATTTAATATTAATCAATCATGATCCATCTAACTAACAACCCACTTAATTGTAAGTGCTGAAATTACTTGTAATTTCAGCACCAGAGAGATTTGAATTTAACTTAGAAATTAGTTGTCTCTCCAAGAGAACTTCAGCAGCCGCAACAAACCAGTATACCCTAGATCTATTGAGCCTAGCAGAGACTAGTTAAACACCCTGAGACTAGAAAGTATAAGAGTAAGATTAGGATCGGTATTGGATCGGTATTGGATCGGTATAAGAAGTTGCACGAATCTATCCGGCCGAAAATAAGATAGCGTGAAGAGCAGACGGTGTACCCTATCCGAAATTACTCTATGAGTTAACCACATCGGTTCTAACTCATCTGGTGCGACCATAAGTCTCGAATAAGACCTTAATAGCTTAGAAATAACCAAAAATAGATTAGAATTTAGACAAAACATTTTCAAAATGTTATACGATAATAATTTAATCGAAATGTCTCTAGGACTCAATAGATCAGAGCCGATATTCCGAACGATAATAGAACTACCCGGAATTGGAAGAAGACCTCGAAAATGAAAACAAAAATTAGTAGCATGACAATAATTTTTTAAAAATCATAAACTGTTGTCCCAGCTTCATCACCTAAACATAACAGCAATCATAAGCTCACCAATATCATTAAAAAACTAAATCGTTTTCTTAAATAAATTTAAACCATTTCAAACTTAAATTCACTTAATTTTAAAATTAGATCATCAAGGCTTATCCTTGGATCTTAATAAAATTTCTATTTCACTAAATTTAAAACCTGATCATCAAGGCCTATACTTGGATCAAAAAAAATAATTATATTCTCCCCCACCCACTTAACAAGTGTCTAACGAACTCAAACGTCGATTCACTATCCAACCCTTCCAAAAGACCCAAGACTAATAGAAATTTTAAAATAAAATTAACCATTCAAATTAGGATAAACAGTGAAGAAATTCGGTTATTCATCCTTCACTTGAACCCTCTTCTTACCAGACCCAGGATAGATCTTAGACTTAGTAAGTTTAAAATAGTACCTAAAGAACTACTTGCGTTCTAATTATACCTCAACCTTGTGGATCGATTTACTATTCTCCAACCCTTGAACACAATCACTACCCCTAAGTAAGATTAAGTAAGTTAACACCTTAGCTTAGACTAGCCACGAGAAAGTAAAAAATCATTCCTCGGAATCGATATACTTTTCTCTCCAACCCTAAATAAAAAGACCCAGGTTAAGCTAACCAAAAAATCGTAAGGACTGACAGTCTAAGAAAATAGAAATACCTAACAACTTTTTGCATCCCTCATCCTAAACCTTATGTCATTCAAAAATCTAGGAAATAAACAAACAATCGTTTTACACAACTGTGAGATAGATAACAAAAAATACGATTTTGTCATCACACCTCATACACAAACAGTTTGATACATTAGAACAAAACGACAAACAATAAAAAGAAAAATTATAAACAAAGACAAATCACACGAAAAAGATTTTCAAAAAATAGAAACGCATTCTCAGAATCAGAAGCCGGCAATTTAGATGAACTCTACAAATTAAAAGAATCAATTGATAAAAATTGTCCCATTCACGATCAATTATATTTTTCCGATTCAGAAACAACTTCAAATTCATCAAAAAGAGGAAAAAGAAGAATAAAAAAGCAATGCAAACACAAACCAGTACCCTTGTATAATTGGAATCAACCAATTAGACACATCGATAGTTATATATTAACATCATCAAACAAAAAAATGAGCCACACTCAAAGTGACGATAGTCCAGATGACGAAGAGGTTTACCCCTTCCTCATAGATGCACCCGATAATAGAGGGTAACATGATTTTTGCAAGAATTTACTCGTAAATTAGTTTGAACCCGGAATCAGTCCATGCAAAGCAGAATTCCCAGATGTAAAAATCAAAAAACAAATT